GATACAAAGGAGCCACTGATACAGAGGATGCTGATACGGTGTCCGCTGATAGGAGTCGCTGATAGAAGTCACTGATACGAGTCGCTGATACGAGCCGTTGATACAAGCCGTTGATATGAGCCGTTGATACGAGCCGTTGATACGAGCCGCTGATACGGAGGATGCTGTTACGAGCTGGTGATACGGAGGATGCTGATACGAGCTGGTGATACGGAGGATGCTGATACGAGCTGGTGATACGAAGGATGCTGATACGAGTCGCTGATATGAGCCACTGATACGGAGGATGCTGATACGGAGAATTGTGCTGATACGGAGAATTGTGCTGATATGGAGGATGCTGATACAGAGGCTCGCTGATACGGTGTCATCTGATACAGTGTCGTCTGATACAGAGGATGCTGATACGGGGGATCCGGTGATATGGAGATGCTGATACACGAGCCGCTGATACGAGCCGCTGATACGAGCCGCTGATACGAGCCGCTGATACAAGCGGCTGATACAAGCCGCTGATACAAGCTGCTGTTACGGAGGATGCTGATACGATGCGAGCCCCTGATATGGAGGATGCTGATACAACGCGAGCCCCTGATACAAGCTGCTGATATGAGCCGCTGATATGAGCTGCTGATAAGGAGCTGCTGATACGGCGTTTGCTGATACGGAAATGCTGATACGGATATGCTGATATGGCGTCCGCTGATATGGAGGCTCACTGATACGGAAACGCTGATATGGAAGCTCACTGATAAGGAGGAGCCGCTGATACAAGCCAGTGATACGGAGGATGCTGATGCGGAGGATGCTGATACAAGCCGGTGATATGGAGGAGCCGGTGATACGGAGGATGGTCGTAAAAAAGAGTCGCTACTGTACTAACACACTAAAACAGTACTTCCAATGGGTCCTTTGCTACAGTTCAAGGCTTGTTCAATCAATAATCAAAGATATCTATCCATTGATACCAAGTACAGTGTATGAGATAGCATCCTCTGTATCAGCATCCTCTGTAACAGCGACTCGTATCAGCGTCCTCCGTATCAGCGTCCGTATCAGCATCCTCTGTATCAGCAACACATATCAGCGTCTGTATCAGCATCCTCCGTATCAGCATCCTTTGTAACAGCATCTTCCGTAACAGCAACTCGTATCAGCGTCAGTATCAGCATCCTCCGCATCATCATCCTCTGTATCATCATCCTCTGTATCATCATCCTCTGTATCATCATCCTCTGTATCAGCATCCTCCGTACCAGCGAGCATCCTCCGTACCAGCGAGCATCCTCCGTACCAGCGAGCATCCTCCGTACCAGCGAGCATCCTCCGCACCAGCGAGCATCCTCCGTATCAATAAGCATCCTCCGTATCAGCATCCTCTGTATCAGTGAGCCTTTGTATCAGTAGCGAGCCTCCGCATCAGCAGCTCGTATCAGCGGCTTGTATCAGTGGCTCGTATCAGAAGCTCGTATCAGCGGCTCATATCAGCGGCTTGTATCAGTGGCTCGTATCAGAAGCTCGTATCAGCGGCTCATATCAGCAGCTTGTATCAGCGGCTCGTATCAGCGGCTCGTATCAGCTGCTCGTATCAGCAGCTCGTATCAGCGGCTCGTATCAGTGGCTCGTATCAGCGGCTCGTATCAGCAGCTTGTATCAGCGGCTCGTATCAGCCACTCTAGCACCTCCATACTGAGTATACTGAGTTGTATTGGGTCATTCCCCTTAATCAAGATATGACCAATTTTCGTTGTATTATTGCATTCTGCTGCAGTATTCAATGGTTGAGAATGCAACTAAAAAGCTGCTGAATGGTTGGTACTAGGCAAGAAAAAGACATATCCCACTTGTCTCTGCATCAGCAAGCCCCCATATCAGCATCGTCCGTATCAGCATCCCCCTCCTCCTCCGTATCAGCGATTTGTATCAGCATACTCCTCTGTACATGATTGTTATCAGCAATCCTCCGTATCAGCATACTCCCCCGTACTATCTTTATCAGCAATCCTCCGTATCAGCATACTCCATATCAGCACCATACTCCGTATCAGCATACTCCTCTGTATCGTTATCAGCAAGCCTCC